AGAAGAAAAAGTTTTAAATATGATGAACATAACTAGCAATAGAGAAAGAAAGGAGAAACCAAAAATAAAGAGAAAAAAAAACTAAGAGAAAAACAAGAAGCGATCAAGGCAAAGAGGAGCAGAAGAAATGAAAGGCAAAGGGAAATCAGAAAAAAGATTTTAAAAATCAAGGGAAGGGGAACTAAATTTAAAAAGAACAAACCAAAACACCCCAAGAACAGAGAAAAACATGTGGGTCCACCCAATATGAGTTGGCACTCTGCCACTAAGAAAGGTTTTGGCATTCTTGCTGGCCTATATGTTGTTTGAGTTCAGAGCACCCGATCAGGAAGTCATTTGTGCCAGCTCAGATGGTAACTGAGATCAGAGTGCTTGTTCCCAGAAGGAGTTCTTTCATGCCCAGTGGGCACCGGCGGTGGGAAAACTAAGGGTGGGCCAGCAGGATTTTAAGAATCAAGCATGCCCAGTAACTAGGCCCTTTGTCTTCTTGGTAGAGTGAGTGGTCTCAAGGTGGGCAGCGGTTGAAAACCAACCAGCCAGCCCCATGGGAGGAAGAAGAGGCTCTCTACTCCAGTGAAGAGTTAAGTCTTGGGAACTGCAGGGGCAGCTCTACCCTGTCTTACAGGGTCGCGGTGAATCAGAACTGACCCTGTTGCACTGAGTTTGGTTGGCTTTTGGTCTAATGAGGGGAAAATTCACACACCTCCAGATGTGGGGGGATGCTGCCAGTGCTCAACCAGCGAGGGCATGGCTCCCAGCTCAGGCAGTGCAGGAGCTGCATGGTGTGGGGGCTGTCACCAGCTGCTGGGTGGGTGAGGGTAGGGTTGACCATGCCTCTGATTATCAGAAGGCTTGTGGGAGAGTAAGGGAGGATCCTACCTTTCTAGTCAGCAGCCAGCAGTGGGCCAGCCTGCTATCTTAATGGCATGCAGCTCGTGCAAGTTGAAGATGACCACAGTATTTCAGGTTAGGTGACAGTTCACCCACGTGCCTCCTCTCTTACAGCTTCTGTCAGCTTCTATTTCAAGACAATGTTCAGTCCACTTCTCGGTCCTTTCCTCTGAAGCTCAGGGTTCCAGGATTATCATCTGTGTCTCTTTTCATTTGGTTTCTCATGTATTTGTTGTAGAGGGTCAGTGTAGCATAGCAGGTCTGCTAGGTTTGACATCTTGCGGGAAGTTCCCCTGGGGGGTTTTCAGTGGCTGACTTCAGAAGTACATCATCCGACTTTTTTTTTTTGAGGTACCATTGGTGGACTTGTACATTTGACTTTTTAGTAGCTAAGCATGTTAACTAACCATTTGCAACACCCGTGAACTACAGAGTTACCATACTACCTAGTAGGTCTACTCCTAAATGCAAGGTGGTTTCAAGAAATTTGTGGGAAAATGAAATTTAATAGATAATGGAATTTCCCCAGGAACTTTTTGAAACGCATTGCATATGGCCATGAAAAATAAAAATATTTGTACATACTGGAACTTGTACACCAGAAGTGGAGAACCCTTTTTCTGCCAAGGGCTCTTTGGATATTTATAACATCATTCTCAGGCCACACTGTTCAAACATTTAATTAACTCACCTCTAATGTGATGGCTGATAACTGCCAGGTCAACAGTTCAAAACCACCAACTGCTCCACAAGAGAAAGAGAAGAGTTATAGTCTTGGAAACCCATAGGGGCAGTTCTACCCTGTCCTATAGAGTCACTATGAGTTGGAATCAACTGGGTAGCAGTGAATTTGTTTTTGGAAGGTGATGACTGGAACCAATTCTCTTTATGTGTTGTGTGATATTACCTGATATTGATGATTTGGGGGACCTTATACAGCTTACAGCTGGGTGTCCTGCACCCCTGTCCTATATGAATATTTATAGTAGCATATTATAGTTGCTAAAAAGCTGAAGCAACCCAAATCTCCATCAATTGAATAGATATACAAAATGTAGCATTACCCATACAGTAGAATATTACTTAGCAATAAACAAGAATGAAAGATGATATATACGTACTGCAAACTTGATGTACCTTTTAAACATTGAATTTAGTGAAAGACATCAGAAAAAGGCAATATATTTTATTATAATTCCATTTATATAAAAGCCAGAGTAGGCAAATCCAAACAGACAGAAAATAATTTAATGGTTTCCAGGGTCTGGAAGGAAGGTAAATAAGAACCAAATGCTAATGCATAAGAAGTTTCTTTCTGGGTGACGAAATATTTTAAAGGTTAGGCCAATGGCAGTGACTACATAATTCAATAAGTATATGAAAAACCACTGAATTGTACATTTTCAAAGGGTGAATTTTATGGTATACAAATTATTTCTTCATGAAATGTTATTTAAAAAAGAAATATAGACCTGTGTTGGTGGGGGAGCAAGGATGTACAGACCAGTTTAGTTGTATATTCTGCTTTTTGTATGAGTGACACTCGCCTTGAATCTATGTGCTAAAAGATAACCACAGAGAACCGTGGAAGACTTTCTTCGCATTTTACTAGTGTGTGTTCCTGCGACAGAAACACCCCCTGTTCATACAACAACTACTCAGAGGCAAGCAAGTTGAATAGATGGATAAGCTAGAATGTCCATTTTTTCCCCTGATTCCCAGTAAAAATGCTCATGCATCTGTTGTTCTTATGACTATTTGCATCTATAAATCTGACCCTTTTTTTAAAAGTTCAATTACAATTTGCTTGCTAAAATGGTTAGTACACTAGAAATTCGTTGGCCGAGTTAGGTCAGTAAGCATGATGCTAGCCCATTAGGAGCAGAGGTCAGGTGCTTAAGAGTCTAGGAAGTGTGACACACCAGGAGAGTTCTTTCTGTTCCAAAGAAGTCATTTGGTTCCTGCCAATGGTTTTCATGCCAACCAATAAAGCACACTGCATTGCATTTTGTTACACAGATTGCTGGTGAATGAAATAGCTTCCAGTATGTCAGGTTTTGCATGGGTTGTTGTCTGTAAGAAATTGACTGTAGGGGGTGGGGTGGAGATTAATGCTTTATTTTCTTCAACTTTGTAATTTAAATAAGTGCACCTTACTTCCATTTCAATGCCTTGATTCCCTCTGGGCTAAGGCAGTCCTCTCAATGATTCTGATGATAGTTTCTCCCTTTCAATTCATCCAAAGAATTCATTCTGTACAGCATTTCTGGAGTGGGTTTATGTTTATTTATTTATTTTACTGCATACATATTTTCCTCTCAGTAAACTCAATCAATTAAATAAAAATATTTACAGAAGACTTCTGAGATTGTTTACTCTTCACAAAGTAAGTGCCATGTTTTCTTAATGCATTAAAAAAAGATTCACATTTCAACAATTTGGCTTCCTTACATACACCTGTTGTGAAAAACACATCAATGTCTTCTTGAAAAAACACATCAAAGTGCTATCTTCTCCCCGATTCAGATTCAAGTTTAAAATGGTAAGCCAGACAATAAGCCCACTTCAGTTGCCAGCTCTTGAAATATCTTGCTTAGTAGAAAGAGCACCATTGAGGGAGGGCTGTTCAAACTGCTTGATCAGTGGCGATCCTTTGTGCTTGCCTCTATGTGGTTTTAGACAAATCACTCAACCTCTTTGAGACTCCTTTTCTCAGCTGTAAAATGAAGGTAATTTTCTTGGTCTGAAAGGAATATGTTTATATTTTTAATCTTTATGGAGGGACAGTACCAAGTCTTAAACCTGTGGAGCTTGTGGGTAGCTTCAAACAGCCCACCTCACAGTTAGCAACGGACCCACCTCAACAAAAAAAAAGATAAGCGTTTGAGCCACCAAACCAACAAGCCAAACCTACCGTTTCATCAGGTTTGAGGTGGACTTGCCAGCTGCCATTTCTCACCTGCTTCCAGGTGTCGGCACCTGTGCTCCCAGGCGATGCACCACACTGAGCAGCAAGAGGGTGTAGAACCAAGAGATGAGGTAGGGATTGAAATACCCAGAGCTAACCTGACATTGTAAACCCTGGACCCTGCTGGCCAGATTCGCGGAGTTTAATCACTTCCTCCGGACCTGAAATATATAAGGTATTGATTTGCAGCCTATCCTTATAACTCCTAGTATTCCAGCGATGGGATAATAGAATTGGATGCCCTGCCGTGCATTTTCTATAGTTCCTTGTATCATCTGGTAGTGTACGCACCTCTCAGACTCCTTGTCACCTATCTCATCGAATATCAAAAGTAGGGGACAGGAAATATCTCCATTTCCAGTCTGTAGAGCACCGCAGCTGCAGGATTGGCCCAAACTTTGCCTACGGCGGACAGCCAGCCTGGAGGCTGCTTAGCTCACAGCTAAGCTTTTGTTACCAAATGAGAAGGATCGTACATTATTGTTTCTCTAAGTTCAGGCCTAATTTCTTTTTTTTTTCCTTTTAAAAATCATTTTATTGGGGGCTCGTACAACTCTTTTTTTTAAAAAAAACATTTTATTAGGGGCTCATACAACTGTTATCGCAATCCATACACACATCAATTGTGTAAAGCGCATTTGTACATCATTCTAAAAACATTTTCTCTCCACTCAAACCCCCGACATTAGGTCCTCATTTTTCCCCTCCCTCCCCGCTCCCCCCTCCCTCATGAGCCCTTGATAGTTTATAAATTGGTATTTTGTCATATCTTGCCCTGTCCGACGTCTCCCTTCACCCACTTTTCTGTTGTCCGTCCCCCAGGGAGGAGGTCACATATAGTTCCTTGTAATCGGTTCCTTCTTTCCAACCCACTCTCCCTCTACCCTCCCTGTTTTCGCCACTCACACCACTAGGCCTAATTTCTTAATACTTTCAGTGAGCATTTCTAGAAGCTTTTCAGGGAAGGTAATATCTAGTCCTGCGAGCGCAGATTGAGTTTCACTTGTAGAATCCACCGGTGCAGGAACTGGTTTCGTACGCAATCTGACTACAAAGCCGTCTTTTTAAGATGTGTCCAATTAGATTCTTCACGTGGGTAGGCGTGGCTTGGAATGTCATCTGTGCCGTTGTTTCTTCACAGAGCACGACGACCACGGTAAAGACACGAGGAAACCCAGGATGGGAAAATGGGGCGGAGGAAGGAGTCACCTGGTCGATGACGTGGCAGTGTGGGAAAGCAGCTTCGCACCAAAGGCCTTCTCTACCTATGGGAACCAGACCGAGGATGCGAGGGAAAAGAAGACCCACAGGAGAGCCAAGCGTTTTGTGTCCTATCCACGGTTTGTCAAAGTGATGGTGGTGGCAGACAATAAGATGGTGGCATACCACGGAGCAAGCCTTCAACACTATATTTTAACTTTGATGTCCATTGTAAGTACATTCAAGAGAAGGGGACATTTGAGGTCTCTAAGTGTGCAGGAGCTCTCGGGGCTGGCATCTCAACCGATGCAGGCGTGACAGTGCAATTTCAGAGGAAAACACCTTGGAGTTTAAGCCTGTCTGAAAGAATCCACTTTGTTCTAAAATCCGCCACCTGTGAATTTTACAAAGAGACCTTAAGTAAATGTTGGTTGAATGAGTGAAAATTCACAACTACAAAATGTGTATATTCCTAAAATGTTGAAAGAAGTAGAGGTCAACATAAGAAGTGAGTGAATTGCTTATTGCTTGCACGGCGTTCGCAATTAACTTTGACAAATTTATCTCGGTTGCAGGTAGCCTCTATCTATAAAGACCCAAGTATTGGAAATTTAATTAATATTGTTATTGTGAACTTAGTTTTCATTCATAATGAACAGGTAATAAAGTTTCTTCTTCTTCTTCTAACTGTATCCAAAATGGCATGCATGTCTTATCAGTGTTGGTATAACCGACTACCAAATTCTTTTTGGATTTAGGAAGGACCTCCTATGGCTTTTAATGCCCACACTATACTAAAAAAATTTTGCCAGTGGCAACATTCCAAGATCTATCCTGGTGGAATCCAGCATGATACAGCTGTTCTTGTAACAAGGTATGTGGAGTTCTTATTACTCAAATAATTTGGTTTCTGGTCAAGGTCCAGCCCTTAGAGTAGAGTTTCTTAACCTAGACACTATTGTCATTTTGGGCCAGATGATTCTTTATGGTGAGGTTGGGCCAGACAATTCTTTGGGGTGAGGGGTCTACCTGTGTGCCTGGCCTTACCCACTATTTGACAGCACCCCAAACTGTCAACTGTGACAACCAACCATGTTTTAAAATGTCCCTGAGAGTAGGGGTTTGTGCAGAGTCACCTCTGATTGAGATCCACTAGCTCATGGGTACCAGGGAGGCCATTGCTGTGTTATGCAGGTCTGAAGATCCATGCTCCTTCTAAAAGGTGCAGCTTCTGTTCAGGTTTATTGATTGGTGCCATGCAGGATGTGAGTTCAGCATTTTCCCCTGTTGAGATTTTCCAAGAAGCTATAGATAAGAATACTTCTGAAAATGTGAGCTCTCCTTATTGTGATATAGCTGCAACTGAGCTAACAAAGACTTAAAACATAATACCATATATCAAAGGGTGTTCGGGCCTCATTGCATGAGGAAGCTTCAAAAAATTCATGAGGAAATGGAATGAAAAGATCATGGCATTTTTCCATGACCTTTTTGAAGTCCCTTGTATCTCCAGTTGACCAAGTCTAATCTTGTCACAAACCAATACTCTCATATGAAGCTCCTGTGAAAGAGAGCCTTCCCGGGAGTGTTCTCAAAGATTCTTAAAAAAACTAGATGCACTCATCCAAGGCCTTTGGAAAAGTCCTGGTTGGAAAGATTTCTGAGTAAGGATCCCTCCACCCGATGCCCTGCGCCTACCCTGCAGCTGTCTCTTAATCTAGCTTGCAATTCTCCAACTTTTTTTTTTTTTTAGTTGAGAACCCCTGGCCTTGTTAGTTTACTCTTTGTATGTGCTGTTGTGAATGCCTGGAAGACATTGTTTGTTGGTGTTGACATTTCTCTTTGGTGTCCCCAAGGCTCTAAGTCTGTTTTGCTTTCAGACAGGATATCTGCAGAACACAGGACAAATGTGATACCTTAGGTGAGTCTGCTGTGCGCATCTGCTGTGACTGGCACAATTTGCTGCATGTTCTTATTCCAAACCACAATTGCTGTTTAAAGTAAACCTTTGTCTGTTTCTACATTTGTTTTCCTTCTACCAGGTCTTGCTGAACTGGGCACCGTTTGTGATCCCCAGAGAAGCTGTTCCATTTGTGAAGACAATGGATTGAGCACCGCTTTTACATTAGCCCACGAGCTGGGCCATGTGTACGTTTCCTTTGAATAGCTTTACTTCATTCAGGTTGACCCAAACTAGATTCTTTGCATTAGTGAGCACCTCCTTGAACTGAAAGAGTAAACAGCCCTTCCTGCATCACAGTCAGGTTTACAGGGTTGTAGAGCTTTGAACCTAATCAAGAAGCATTACTTTGACTTGAGAAAATTGAATCATTGCAGAGCAACATTCTTCAGCCGTAGCTCATCCATGGCTGTTTTGGTCTAACAGCCCAGATTTTCTATGCAAGGTGTCATGTTCTCCTCTTCGGCTGCAAACGGGAGGACTGGGGCATCCCTAGAGCTTGTGTCAGTCTGGACCTCTTCCTGGATGGAGCATCCTTTCTCGTGAAGAGTGCCCTCCAACATCGTCCAGTCCTTGAGACTTTCATTACTCCAGATTATTCCTGATCCCAGTTCTGCAGGGCTATAGTTCACGCATTTAGAATCTGGGACCCCTAATATCCCTCTTTCAGGCACCAGCATGGACAGAGCTATGGAGAGGTGCATCTTAGGGAGCCACTCTGAGTGATTCATAGAGTAACGGTATCATTTCCTAACTGTGGGCAACAAGTGGCTGGTCCTCATAAAGTTGAATTTTCCATTTTGTTCTTCTGAATGGTGTGCATTTGCTAGAAATTATGCTGATTTGTGAACTGTATGGCTTTCTTTTTAGAATGAGTAAAATGCATTTACTGTCCCCTTTTGAAATAATTTACTTCAAAGATGCCTTTAATTGAATACACGTGTGTATCAGTTTGTATATCTCATGATAACTATTTAAAACTGACATCAGCTAATAAGCAAACTTGTCCATTCAGCAAGTAGTCTTTGAAGGCACCTTATGCGCTGTGTGTTGTGCTTGGCATGTAAAGTGAAATATTTACAAACAGATAACTCTAACTCAGTACAGCATACCTATTAGAGGTATATTTCAAGACATGTTCTAAGAGCATGATTCTTTTCCCCTATGGAAACATTGTGCAGATGTCTAATAGTTAAAACATAAAAGAGGCATGGTTTTCAGTTAAGCTGGTATCTCAAAAACCACACTCACTGGCATCGAGTTGATTCCGACTCATAGCAACTCTATAGGACAGGGCAGAATTGCCCCCGTAGGTTTCCAAGACTGTACACCTTTAGAGTTTTAGTAAGCCTCATCTTCCTCCTGGCAAGCTTTCAAGCTGCTGCCCTTTGCTCAGTAGCCCACTGTGCCACCAGGGCTCCTTAGGTCACACCAACTTTCTTAATCAGCGTCTTTTCTGACTTTTTGGTTTACAAGGGTACATGGTAGAAATAAGAGCTCAATTTGAAAAGCAGTGGTCTAAATAACATTTTATGAAGTATAAGGAGTCTGACACAAATTCCATGAAATTGTTGTCTTCATCAGGAGCCTTCTACTCTATTTTGGCTCATAGCAACCCCATGTGACAGAGTAGAATTGCACCATGGCGTGTTTTAGGTTGTAATCTTTACAGAAAAGACCTGGTGGTGCAGTAGTTAGGTATTTGGCTGCTAACAAAAGGCTCGTGGTCCAAACCTGTCAGCCCTTCCATGGAAGAACAGCTCTAGCTATCAGCTCCTGAAGAGATTGTAGCCCAAGAAGCCCTGTAGGACAGCGCCCGTCTGCCCTGTCTGGTCTCTGGGACCCTGAGGTGACTGATGGCATAGAACAGCAGCTTTAGAAGTGCAGATCTCAAGGTCTTTCTTTCAAGGAGTTCTCCTGGGTGGTTTTTACTGCCAACCTCTAAGTTAACAGGTAGGCACTTAATTGTTGGGCCACCAGGTCTTCTTCCGTGAACATAATCTGTGCAAAATAATTTTATAATCAAATAATTTCAAAATGTACTTCATAGTCTTGACCTACTTAGAGGCAAAAGACTCAGGCATATAAAACTCAAACCAAACCAAATTCACTGCCATCAAGTCTATGGTGACTCACAGCGACCCTATAGGACAGCGTGGAACTTCCCCTCTGGGTTTTGGAGACAGTAGCTCTTTATAGGAGCAGAAAGACTCATTTTTCAACCTTGGAGCGACTGTGTTTTCCAACTGCTAGCTATGCAGCTCCATGTGTAACGACGACCCCACCAGGCCCCCTCAATGAGAGACAGGCTCTGATAAGTCCTGCATTAGGCAAATGAATTGATTTGTGTTCAGCACAACGTTTCCAAACTTATTTTAAGAGAATCTATAGGGAATTTTCTGTATGCTTGTCCTGTATAAAATCTAGTTGCTTCCTTTAGAATTTTAAATAGGGGATGAGATTTGGCCATGAAGAGAAGGGGATTTCAACAGGGGAACTTTGTATGTCATGGGGAACAGGGTGAAAAAAACTGACAGAGACAGGAATAGATTCAAAGAGCAGAGTTTATTTGCTTGCCAGATTGACATGTCCACCAATATGTGGCTAAGAAAAAAATACTGTTTCAAGAAATATAAATAGTTTCCCATTCATGGTTTTCCCACAGGTGTATGTAAACTTCTATCCGGCCAATTTTTAATATGTGGGTGTTTTTAAGCAAAGTGAGAACTTTGGCCAATCATACTCAACTATACAGCAGTATCAATGGGTAGTTAACAATGCCCTCTCCTCTCCAAAAAACACACAAAAAGCCATATTGTCCTAGGAGCTTTTACTTATATTATCCGTTTTGATCTTTGTAAGAATCCCTCAAGGTAGATAGTATTGGTTCCCTGTGTTTGATTAAGACGTATTAAACAATCAGCACCAAGATTTGTAGCATTTAATCCTTTATCACCTTATCAAAAGGCCCCTAGACAGAGATTGGCCTGGGAGGCAGATATCTGGGTCTAGACTGAACTCTTCCACATTCTCTTCATGTGAGCAGATCATCATGTGCTTTGCTTCCCTGTCTGTAGAATGAGAAGAATACTTACCCACTGCACCTCCCCACCCCAACTCCCACCCCCTAATCTCCAAAGTGTCCAGAGGGAAAAATGAAAAAAATTAGAAAAGATATATGTTGGTAAGTTAAACAAATCACATGCTTGATCCTGTAATGGGAGCCCTGATGGTGTAGTGCGTATGCATCGGGCTGTGATCTACGTAGTCAGCATCTCTGCCAGAGAGAGACTGGGCTTTCTACTCCCTCAGCCAGTTACCGTCTTGGAAACCCACAGGCAGGCATGATGAGTCCCATTGACTTGGTGGCAGTGAGTTTGGTTTTTTTCTTTGTTTGTTTTTTAACCCTTTAATGAATCATTTTTTGTTTGGGCACTGTCTCATTTTAAGGAAAGTGAAATTCTGTATTAGCTTGCTACAGTTCTTTATAGTAGGTTTTCTAGTGCACTTTAAAAATTAAAGTAAAATATGTATTAATTTGAAAAGGAGGCGTGGAGTTGACACATTCATGACTTTAAGGTAATGTGAAATGCAAGAGTTATTGGAGGGGGAAATAAAACAATTGGTTTTCTTGCCTTTATGGTGCATAATTGGATGCTTCAAAACCAGCTCCTACCATTTTTGACCAGCTTCACAGACACATCTAAAAGTTAGAAAGACTCTGGGAGGTAATTGAGTCTCTACAACATATAGAAACCTTTACTCAGTATTCCTGACAACCCCCCCAGAGCTTGTCTGATAGAAGGGAAACACACGGTGTCGTGAATGTAGAAATTGACAGTGATACCTCAGTTGTTAAACAGCTCTACGTTTGAATTTGCCACTATTAGAACAGCACAGGTCGGGGAAAAAAATTTGCTCGGCGTTCATAACTTTGCTTGCTAGTTGAACCGAAAATCTGACTTGAAAAAACACGTGTGGGCTAAGAGTGAGTCACAAGGCCCGTGTCACCTGGACTCAAAGAGGTTGCCCCCTCAGTCTAGGGGACCCTCTCGCTCAGACAACATACAGTGCTCATGTCCTTGTGTTTTTTTGGTGGTTTTTTTGCACTTCATTTGCATGAACTATCATAACCATGGTTCCAAAGAAAGTTAATGATGCCGGCAGTAAAGCGCAGAGGAAAACTGCTAAGAACCACAATTGGGTTAAAGAAAAAGAAACCATTGAGAAACTTGAATCAGTTGCCTCTTGTCTGATGGGGAGGCCGACAACATGACCAAATCGACCTTCATTAACATTTAAAAATGTGATTCCAGTGGCTGATGTAGCAAAAGGTGAAATTGTTAACTACGAAATAATACAGGCCGTATTAAAAAGCTCGAAAAGTTACTGTGAATTTTTATAAATCAGAAGTAACTCGTATCCGAGACACTGATATGGTTGAAGGCTAAAAGACTCCAAGCCCCCCCCACCCCCCAAAAAATGGATTTGTAAGTATAATTTTTAGGCCTCAGAAACAATTATTTGGTTTTCCACAATTTCTTTTGGGAAAAATATGGTCAGTTCTGGAACGTTTTGGTGTTTGAACATGAATTTGGAATGAATTGAGTTCAATAGCTGAGGTATCACCATAGATTCAAATCCTCACTCCCTCCAACCTAAGTAACTGTGTGACTAAGCCTTTCATGCTCATGTAGCGTTGTGGGCTGTGCGTTGAGCTGCTAACCACAAGGTCAGCCGTTTGAACCCACCAGCTGCTCCACAGGAAGAGTTGAGGCCCGCGACTCCTGTAAAGATTTAAAGCCTTGCAAACCCAAAGGGGCAATTCCACTCTGTCCTGTAGGCTTGCCAGTGAATTGAAATCGACTTAATGCTCAATTAGGAGTGAGAAATAATAGCATTGTTTATTGGGTCCAGGAGGTGATTAAGTGAAGTCAAGGATCTAAAACATTGAGTACACTTCCTGGCTCATTGTGAGTATAAAAAAAATCTTGACCATTATTGGTTAGTAAGTACTTAGAGGATGCTTATTAACTGTGCCCTCTGTAGAGCAAACAGACCTGCATTTGAATGAAAATACTGTTTACATGGTGCAGTTGACTGGATTTATCAAGCCATGGAGGGAACCTTGGTGGTATAGTGGGTTCCACATTGGGCTGCTAATCAGAATGTCAGCGGTTCAGAAACACCCCTGGGGATAAGATGAGGCTTTCTACTCCTGTAATGATGCATAGTCGGAAACCCACAAGAGCAAAATTACTATGTTCTTCTGGGTCACGATGAGTTGGAATTGGCTCAATTGCACTGAATTTGGGGTTGTATATTTGTTGCTTATGGGGTGGTGGGGAGTTAGGCCACGGGGAAACGAAGATGTAAATGTTTTGCTTGAGTTGAGACTGTTGGTGTAGGTACTACTTAGGCTTTGCTGCCAGGAACTAGAACCTTGGGCTTTCTTTTAAGAAAACGGACTTTCAGACATCAAGACAATTAGTATTCAGTGTAGAGGTTTTTGCTTTGTTGTATATTTGTTTTTTATCTCTAGTGGTAGTAATTGATGGGCCTGCATTTGTTGAAGAATAAGAAAACAAAACACAGGAGAAGTTAGCGGAATAGACTTTATGGATTTTTCACCCAATTCATTTTGTTTTTGAAACTAATCTGCACTTTTCTGCCTGGCTCACTCATTTCGGTAGTTGAGGTAAACATACGCACGGCCATCATAGAATCAATTCTAACTCACAGCAGCCCTATAGGACAGAGTAGAACTGCCCCGTAGGATCTCTGAGATTGAAGTTTTTATGGAAATATAGATGGCCTCCTCTTTATCCTACAAAGGGACTGGTAGCTTTGAACCCGCGACCTATCAATTTGCGCAGTGGAACGCTTTAACCACTATGTCCCCAGTGCTTTTTTTTTTCAAGCAGAACTAGTGCAGGGGAATTCCTCCCTAAATGATAAATTAAACCCAAGGATCAATTTTGTGATGGAAGACAGTTATCTAAAGAGGATGCTCCCTCTGAACTGGCTACCCAGTGGATAATTAGCTGAGCTGAGCACGTGGGTCATCGAATTGATGTTTCTGGCTTGAGGAGCACCTCCTATAATTTATTTTTTCCACTTCCTCTGGCCAAGCCAAGAATGGCAAATATGTGTTAATGCTGCCGCTGTTCCCTCCCAGCCCCAAGAGCACACTGGCAATACATCACAGCTTTCACTCTGGTGGGACCTGAGTTAAAGAATCCTTGTTGTGGTATTCTTTTCAGGAAGCCGGTACCATTAATTGACATTGGGATGAATCATGAAACCATTTGCCATCGCTGAGTTAAGCAACTGAATTGACATGCCCCTGGTTTGTGCCTGTGGCTTTCTTAATAAGTTTCATTGTGCACAAACTTTGCATAGCTTTTTAATTATATACCTACCTGGGTCTATCATTTGTCATCCTGACCCAAAAAGGAGCAAATGCCAAGACCCAAAGTGAGTCTCTTATTAGAAAGCTTTGAGCTTCACATTTTTGACCCCTGAATGACCCCTTTAATTCACATTACTATCACCTGAGAAAGTATTTCTTTCCCTGCTATTTAATTATTATTTTTAAATAGTTACACTGGCGTATATTTCACACATGATACAATTTAATCATAATCCAATCATATTAAGGAGTTGTGCATCATCGCCACAGCTTCAGACAATTTCCTTCTCACACTCATGACTGTTAGTTCCTCATTTCCCCCATCCTCCTGTCATGCCCCAAGGTAATTATTAAGCTAGTTACATTCTCTATAGATTTACCTGTCCTGGATTTCATATAACCTGCCAAATTCTTTACTCTGTAAGTTGGCTTTTAATAGCTTATTAGGAATTTCAAGTACTGTATTCTAACATGAACAACAACACGTTCAGAGCCCATGAAATTCCAAAAAGTACCTTTGACCCAAATAATGGTCCAACCCATGCCTCATGTTTTAAAAAGATACAATGCATCAAACTGGGTGATCATTCTGTTTTATTCTCTGCCCCCGTCTTTATGCAGTAAATTTTGGGGTTTTCTCCAAACTGCAGTAGCTAGTTATTATTATATTTCCTCTTAGAGAAATGCATTCTCAAGACAGTTGTAGCAGCATGGTTCCTTGATGTTCATTGACATTCTCATCATTGTCTCATTGGCTGTAGGCTGAACATGCCTCACGATGACAACAAAAAATGCAAAGAAGAAGGTGTTAAGAGTCCTCAGTATGTCATGGCTTCAACATTGAACTTCTATACCAACCCCTGGATATGGTCAAAATGTAGTCGGAAATATATCACGGAGTTCTTAGAGTAAGACTTGAACTTTCTTTTGGCACAGGTTTCTACTCTGCCCTCCATGTAGTGAGCTGATGGTGGGAGTCAAGCAGGCCTTTCGAGTTGTTATTTTTGTTGACATTCCTTAGTGGAGGGGAATGGGGAAAAAACTTTCTGGCATCTCTGCTGTTTATATCCTGGCCAGAGTTTTAGAAGATAACTAAGCTCAAGAAAGGCGTGGGGTTTTAAAGAGAACATGCACATTTTGCTGCATCTTGGGGGAAAGCTTTCAAATATGTTCATGTCTTGGGGGAGAGAACATGAATATGACCCATAAGGCTGACTACAGACATTTATGTGATTCTAGCTTAGAACTTCTGGCCGGGAAAGGAGCAGTGGAGTGAGATGATCCCAAGGAAGGTTATACGGGAAGATAAGAATTGCAGCAGAACCCCAAGCTGTCATTGAATTGGGGCTATAGTCTCCCCCCGCCCGCCCTGTGTCTCTCTCCTCCACCACCTCTCCCTCCCACCTTGTTCTCTCTCTCCTCTTTTTCTTTCTTGCCTTTTCTTATTTTTTCAAACTTCCTGCGAGGCTGCTTAAAGATCCGATTACATTAGACAGTGTCCCTGTGTCACAGATTTATTGCCTTCCTCTCCCAGAGGAATCAAAGGTTAAGTGATTTTCCCATGGTCCCTCGGTGTCTGTTTTTGCACCCACGGGGAAGAAGGGGTTTGATGAATTGGACTCACCAGGTGTGGCTCTCTCTGTGAGGTGATTGCAGGAAAGGGAAAGAACTAGATGCTGCTGCTGCTGCTGTTCTTCTGAATCAGATGGTGCAAGGTGTTTTCTTTCTCCGCATCATTGATTCGCTCACTCACCCATCTATTCAACAAACATTTCCAAACACCTGTAGCTAAGGACAAGGCTCCATCCTTGGAGGAAAAGCTGCTTTGCCCCTAAGAAGTTTACATTCAGAATGGAAAGAGAGTAAAAAATAAACATGTGTGATAAATTCTGTAACAGATACATAATAGATATACATGTGATAAATACAATAGATATATAACATAAACACAGCAGATATATATGTGTGCATAAAAATTATACACATTACACATACATGTTATATAGAGCATTGTTATATGTTATGTTATATATGGTATAACAGATTATAGATAACATACTGTATATACTCCAGTATAAGCCGAGCACCTAGTTTTACCACAAAAACCTGGGGGCTTTTTCAGTATAAAAAATGCGCTGAAAAAACTCAGCTTATACTTCAGTATATAACATACAATACAGGTGTATAATATATGTTCTAGTGTTACATATAATATATATTATATATGATGTATATGCATACATATAACAAATGTAATAGATATATAACATGCACATGTGGTAACTACTTTAGCATATATTACATGTATATACTACTGACTATGCATACTGTATGTGGTTCTTCAAACAAGTACACATCAACATCTTACCTTCCTTTTCTTTTTTTTAACTTGACCTTAACCTTAGACTACTAACTTAACCTTTTTCTGCAGCTCTGGGCGTGGCGACTGTTTGCTCAATGAACCAGAATCCAGACCCTACCCTCTGCCTCCCCAACTGCCAGGCCTTCTTTACAACGTGAATAAACAATGTGAATTGGCCTTCGGACCAGGTCATCAAGTATGCCCGTTTATGGTAAGTGTCTGGGGCTTTGTTTTGTTTTAATGTATTAAGTCCCCCTTGGAGTCTTGATGTACTATAAACTACCCAAAGAGAAATCAACACTAGGCTGTTGTTAGCATGATAGTGCTGATGCCAGTACCGTTGTCGATGGTGAACGGTCTCTGCTCCACGTCAAATGGTCCATCGCCTGCACTTTCTCATTCTACTCTCGTGACAGCCCCAAAGGGAGAGGTCATCACTGCTGTCATTTTGTAAGTGGGTCTCAGAGAGGACAGTGGTAAAGCTGATAATGGCAGAGCACAGTCTTCTCGCCTTGTCTTATTTCATCCCCTTTGATTTGTCCTGGTTACCTCTCTTAAAGGGACCCTCGTAAAATAATTCATGAAACAAGCCCCTCTCTCTCTTTTAAGTTGTCAAGAGAATGTCCTCTGACCCATCTGAGAAAATCATTTCCGGTGGTAGCCCCATGGGAAGTGGACACATGAGATTTCATGTCCATGTCTTAGGTGTTTAGACCAGGGACATAAGCCCTGGATAACTGGCTGCCTGTGAGCAGAACCCTGCCTTTCTAGTTGTCCCATTTCATCCCTTGGGTGTTTGTTTGCATGTTCAGCTGGTTGGGGTACTGGCTCAGACTTTGGATACAGCAGGGAGAACTGGAAAGTTCAATGATGCCATGGAAAAATGTAAAAATGCTATCATAATGATATGTATTACAGTGTTAGTGATGATAGCAAAAATTAGAAGCCAGCCCTCCAAACGTTTCACAAAGAAATAATTAAGCAAATTTTATATTCATTTTGTGTAATGTTAATTTAAAATATACACACATGGAAATGCTTCTGAGAAAGTTTTAAGTCCAAATATGAGGATAAAAAATTGTTTTGGAAAGTAGATTCTTGCTTAAAAGCAGGGAAAAGACTCGAGAAAAGAGTAAGTGCTTTCTGACTCACACTTTTTCCCTTTTTTAAAAAAAATGAAATTTTTGAACCTTCTGAATTTTCTATAATGGGCATAGCTACTTTTAACAGAATCTAAAAAAAAATCTTTCAAAATGATAATTTAAAATAGAGATGAAGTTTATCAAGTTATGTAAATCTTAAAAATATCGTGTTGAGAGAGAAAAAAACACAAGTTGCAGAAGACACATCTATATGATACTCTCTGAGCTGATTCGAAGTGCAGGCTACACAATGCTGTGTGTAGATTGAAATACCTTGCAGCAAAGGCAGTGAGGATGCTGAAAGGATGGATACCGTTCAAACAGTGGTCATCTCTGGGAGGAACCAAACATGCAAACAAAAACCAAGGGAAGTGGTGAAGTTCAAGATTGATACCCAAACAAAGGGTCCTGCAAAGCTTTGAAGTGAAAATAGGACTATAATATGATCTTATGTGGCTTAATTAGGAAAAACAGGAGCCCTGGTGGTTCCGTGGTTAAACACTTGGCTGCTAACCAAAAGGTCATCAGTTCAAACCCACCAGCCACTCTGAGGGAGAACGAGAGGACACTCTGCGGTGCCCAGGATTGCAGCCTCGGAAGCCCTGTGGGCAGTTCTGCTCTGTCCTGGAGGATTGCTGTGAGGGGGAATCCACTTGAAACCCACAGGCTTCATTTTCATTTGCAGTTGGAAAAACAAATACTAGTCTGAGGGTCCAGTCGGGCTTGAACGCAGATGAGCCTCCATGAGTGGTAATTGAGCATGCTCCTTCATGCTCTCCAGCCCCCATTTTCTCATCTGAAATATGGGGAGTGGTTGCTGAGGAAGGAATTTCTTCCAGGCATAGAGATGTATCTTATAGATTACTCTCTGTTCCTTGGAATATTTAATCAATTGTACCCAAAAAAGGAAAGAAGAAAAATTTCCCTTCCAGCCAGTAGTGTATCATTGGCAGATCACCGATGAAAAGCAAGCCTTGCCTTGTTTAATATGTTCTGAATCTCACTGTGGCTTCCTTGTCGTTCCACTGACTTAAGCAGAAGCAATGTAAGCGGCTCTGGTGCAATTACGTGGATGGGGCGCAAAAAAGCTGCCAGACTCAGCACCTGCCCTGGGCTGATGGGACCGAATGTGAACCTGGAAAGGCAAGTAACGCCGCACCCCGCCGTGCCTCACCCCAAAGTGTGCAAAAATGTGCAAGATTTTGATGGTATTATCAGTCTCCTTTGTTTATAAGCTTGTGTTAGTCTAGGTACGTTAGAGAAACAAATTTACAGAAACTCATATGTATGAAAGAGAGTTTTATATAAAAGGTAAGTGCACATCAAGAAAATATCCCAACCCAGTGCTGCCCAAGCCCACAAATCCAACATTAACCAATTTGTCTGACACCAAGCCTCAAAGTCCTCCTCCACCTCACAAAACACACGCTATGATGCCGACTGCAGGAGGAGTTAGTCAACGTGTAAGCATCTCAGTGCTGGCAGGGGTCTCCACATAGGTGCTCCAGCACCCAGGGCTGCATTGGGGTAGGTCCATGCAGCTTCTTCTTGGGGATGTCTTGCAGGAAGTGAGCCTTGCCAGCTGAAGCAGGGAA